CTCGACACTCTGGACTGCTGTCACTGTTTAGAGGTTAACTGGAATTAGCCACCGTCGCCTGGGAGGTTTCCCAAAACTGATGTTTGACCGCTATTTTTAGATTGAGAATACTGGGAGTTGGAGCAGACAATGAAGTCTATGTTTTTAAGGTTTTGTGTGTGAACTAGGCTGCTGCAAATGGCTAGCCATAGCGGCGAGTTGTTTCCTCAGTGGTCGTGACTCCGCATGTATGGGACAGACGACAATATATATGTTTTTAGGAACCAACAAAAAGTAAATTTTGATATAGAATAAACTTGATCAAAATTTTGGTAGAGTGTATTTTATTGTACCTAACTGTTTCGGAAAGGTTTTAAAACTAGATTTTTAAGACTCGTTTTTTTATATTGTCAGAGATGCTCTAAGTTGGTACTTCCTCCATCTCTAAAATATACGAGTTTATTCTAAATAAAAAAATTTAAACTTTGATCAAGTTTATACAAAATATATGTATCAACGTCTATAACACTAAAACGGTGTACTATAAAAATGCATTTTAGGATTAATCTAACACTACTTAACATAAATATTGATACCTCGTTTATTAACTTGATCAAATATAGTTTGAAAAAATAAAATAGTTTGACTTAGAACAAAATTAACTATTTTTCTCTTTTTTTTAATGGGAGAGCAGTAAATATCAAATGACAGTGTCATGGAACACTAGCCCGCGGATTGGAGCTCGGATGCCGTATTGCATTCTCAGGAACATACCAAAGCTCAGTACATTATTTCAAAATGATTCTATATTCTAAAAACTAAATATTCTAAACCATGCATGCTCCCTAAAGTATCAACTATCCACCGTCCAACAAAAAAGATACAAAAACTACACGGGTAGGTGAAGTTTTATTCCTAATTGATTGTGATTTCAACACTTCTAAGGATGTTATACTGCCTAAATAATGTTCTACATTGATGTTACTTAGGTTTACATTTGAAGAAGTGGAAGATACATGGCCTAAGCATCAAGACACAGTGCTACAACCGGACTAGTCTAATGGGGAAGGACGACTGAACCAGTCTGATACAAAGCTTATCACTCTGAGTACTTTATCCCTTGATTCCCTAAAACTTTCGTGGTCTATGAGAACTTGATAAAAAAAACTTATCAAGTCTAGTTTACAATACCATTCACTCTCAGTACTTTGGATTTTCCATTAATGAGATCTGAGTAGTTGAGACTGCTAAGTCCTTTCGAAATTGACAGTACCATCATAAAGAAACCGCTATAACTCTTGATTCCTGAAGGTTATGGAGGTCAAGTACTTGACCGAAAGCTTATCAAAGTCTAGTTTCCAATGCTACCAGGTCCGAGTGTTTTGGATTTCCCAATGTTGAGATTCGACCTGATCAGCAAAGACTGGTCAGAAGGTCAGGAGTCTTCTCAAAGATTTGTTTATGTTTAACTTCTCGTGCAAAACTATACCATTATACAACTTTTCATGGTGCATGCTGCACATGGCTGGAAAACTTATCAAGTCCACTTTTACAACCAACAAAAGGCTCGTCATTTTGACTTCCCATTGAAGAGTTATGACTCTATTAGTGCGACTGCTCAGGAGACCAACAACCGCTTGAGGATTCTTGGGAACCCATTTCGTGAAAGCCTTTTCACATAGTCTATCTTTTCACCTTCATTTCGTTTTCATACCCATCTAGGAGGGTTGTTACTAGTATAAATGTCATTGTGCTTCTTAGCAAATGGAGACATTTGATGATCAAAATACATAACCTCTTTGTTCAACTGTGTGCTAACAAATATTGAGAGTGATCTCTATCCCTTTGCTCTTGTGATTTTCTTCGTGGGATTTACAGAAGCGACGACTTCATCCACTCCCAATTAGTTCTCCTACTCCCTTAAAGGATCTCCTCGATTGATTGTAGGTTGTGTTGATTGGCTCTCCGATAGTGTGGTTGGGCGAATCCTTGATTCTGGCTGCCGGTTAAAGACGGTGGTTGGCTTCGAGTTTTATTTAACAATTAAGTTCCACTGGGTTATATCATTTGCTTATGCAAGTTTTTTTGGTAGTTCTACATCTATCAAGACTGTAATCCTATGTCGTGGAGATCGGGACTAAGGCTTCATCACCCTCCATGTACTTCATCGGTCCCAACTTATATATTATTTTAGTTTTGTCCGTGGCAGAGCCACCACTCGGCCACTCTAGGCGGCCAGGCCAGGCTCGACGGCTCATTGACGAACTTCAAAAGAGATTTTTTCTTTATATCTAAGAAAACACTATAATTTTCTAGGTAATTTTTTTGTATAATGAGAATCGTTCAGGATCCAAAAAGCTTGAACTTAACAGTCCGGCTTATCAGCCATGGTACAGTGTTTTTCTCTCATAACAAATCAGCATCAGTCGGCTTATCAGCTGCAGAAACCATCAGCCGAACAACTCCTTCCATTGGTTTTGTCTAAAAATTTATTTCTCTCACTTTGACCAAGTATTTAAACAAAACATTAACTCTTGAGATATATTTTATGAGACTCTTTCTCAAGAACATGTTGAAGATGGTCATTTCATTAAATATGAGTCTAACATGTTGAACATAGTTTTTTTTCTTTAAAAGCGGCGTGGCTAGTGTCCGGACGTCCGCGTTCGGATGCCCGCGCTTGTGGGCCTCATCGCCGCCCCCGCCTACTCACCCCCCTGGCTGTCTCTTCCATTGGTTTTGTCTAAAATTTTATTTCTCTCACTTTGACCAAGTATTTAAACAAATATATTAACTACCAAGGTATATTTTATGAGACTCTTTCTCGAGAACATGTTGAAGATGGTCTTTTCATTAAATATGAGTCTAGCATATTGAACATAGTTTTTTTTTAAACAACGTGCCTAGCGCCTGGACGTCCAGACAGACGCTAGCGCCTGCTGGCCTGCTGCGCCTCCCCACCTACTCACCCGCCTACTCACTCACCTGGCCATCTGCTCACCCGGCAGCCTGCTTGCGTCGCCCGCCTGATCATCTGCTCGCTCGTTGCCCCGCCTGCTTGCCTACCTAGCGGGTCGCTCGACCGGTCGATGCTCGCGTCTTCTCGCCTAGTCGTCTGCTGGTCTCCGCTCTCCCGCTTGGCTAGTCTGTTCGCTCGGCCGCTTGCTCGTCTCTGCTCGCCCGCCTAGCCGGTTTACTCACCCGGCCACCTGGTCACTTTCTGCTCACTCGCTACCTTGTCTGCTCGTCCGCCTGGAACAGTTGAAACATATGCAACACTAGATCTATTTTTGTAACATCCGGATGAAACAATTGCAACATACATCTGAAATAGCTGAAACACTTGCAACATATGTCTAAAACACTTGGAAAGCCATTGGAAGCGTATGTAACATCCAGGTAAAACACTTGCAACATATGCGTGAAACATATGCAACATCCAAAATAAACACATGCAACATGAAAAACAGATGAAATATTTGGAACATCCTTGCAACATGCGTGTATAGCCATTCACAACCTATGTAACATCCCGATCTACTTTTGTAATATCAATTTAAAACACGTGCCACACCTCTAAAACATCTAGAACACTTGAAACATACGCTTTCAGCGTAATGTAACCTTACTGCTTGGACGAATGCCAACTTGCGCTTTCGAGCTTGACGCCAGCGCGGAGGTCGGCGGCGGCGCATGGAGCTTGCCGGTGCCCCAACGGAAGCACTGCGTTGGGCGAGCACCTGTGCGAGGCCGCGAGCAGTGCTGGACTAGCGCGCGGCCTACTTGGCGAGCACCGCCTGCAGCACCCCTAGCGAGCGGCCAGCAGCCGACGAGCACCCCCTGCCCGGCGAGCACGAGCAGGCCAGCAGCTGGCGAGCATCGGGCTAGCGAGCACGAGCACCACCAGCTACACAACAACTGGCGAGCACCCCCTGGCTGGCAAGCACGAGCACCCCTGGGTATGGGTAGAGAGATTTTTTTATTTTTAAAGATCACAGACATGAACAAGCGGACAACGCGGTAGCGAGTAGGAAGCTGTGTCAACCCGTCTCCTCACGGGAGCATTACCGTTTTTAGAAAGGTCTTACAAAGTGATGGGAACAAAGTGGAGAGAAGCATTACTCTCTAAAATTAGTTCATTTTCGAAATTCTTGGTTCTCGATATTCCGTAAGTTCATGTTCACTAAAATAGTTGAAGGATTTTCTAACTATTTCGGTCGGTTTTCATCCTAACGTGACAGCGATACCAATTTACTAGAAAGAAAGAACATCCATGCTAGCGACTATTGCCGGCAGACGCCACGGCACGTTCCCTATCCAGACCATCCTCCTCTCCCGTGGGTGAATTTTTTTGCCTGATTGGTTGGCTTCTAATTCTTGCCCAGCCAAAATTATGATATGCTAAATTTTGTAGTTATCAATTGGTTGATTGTCAAAAAATTAGCACATAAATATTTATGGTCAAAGTTTTAGCAAGTCTCTGGAAAGTTCTTACGGCTTGTTCGGTTGGCTGGTTCGTATCGTTGCTGGTTCGTTTACGTAAGAGAATGGTACTGCTGGCTGGTTTGCTGCTACAGTAGCCATGGGAGGGGGCTGGCCAGCCAGCCCAGCGAACGAGCGGTTAAACTACACGAAAGAGAAATTTGGCAAGCTTTAATTTTGGCTATCAATCAAACGCACAAATACGTCTTTTATTCTAACTTTGGCAGCTTTGATTCTGACAAACTTAAGTTGGTTGGGCAAAAAATTGGTACCAACCGATCAGGACCTTTATTCGCACGCCCACTCTCCTTCCGCACCGCTAGCAAAGCAAACGCAGCAGCAGCTTTGATTCTGTCTTCCTCTCTCCACCTCCTCTCCCAAGTCCAAAGTGGCCAAGTCCCACTACGCCGCCGCCGCCTCCTACTCCCTCTGCGACTCTCCTCGCCCGCTTCCAGCACCTGCACATCAGGAACCTTGACCCCGAGGCGGCGAGGCTGCGCCGAGCCGCCGACTAGCTCCGGCGGCGCCCGCCAGTCACCATGTCCGTCCCCGGCGTCGTCTCCCCGGCCGCCGACCGCTTCTACTGTCCCCCACCGCGCCGCCACCTCCTTGACAAGCAGCACAAACAGCATCCGCCACTAACTGCCTCGGCGGCCGAGGAGCCGGCGAAGCCGACGCCGGAGCTCCGGCGAGACCCTTTTCCATCTCCGGCAACTGCTACGACCAACCTCGAGAGCTTCATCGCCTCCACCACCGTCCGCGTGCCCGCGCGGTGCCCTCCCCGAGTGCGTCCGCCGGCGCTTGCTTGCCTCTCGTGTTTTCCGTACGTGCTGACGGCTGACGGGGTCCGGTTGGGCTGTTCTTGTGCGCTTGCAGACGCCGGGCACGCGGGGGTGCCGGGCAGGAGCGCCGTACTACGAGCTCGCGGATCTGTGGGAGGCGTTCGGGGAGTGGAGCTCGTACGGCGCCGGCGTGCCGCTGCTGCTCAATGGCACGGACGGCGTCGTGCAGTACTACGTTCCATTCCTCTCCGCTATCCAGCTCTATAGGTCACGGCCGCTGCCGTCAAGCAAGAGGTAGTATAACAGGCTCACAGCTGTCATTTTTTCTCTTGGAATCTGCGGGTACCTACATTGAATGAATTGACATTGTGGAAACTGACTTCCTCTATTCTGTCAATACTTGGATATGTTAGGCCAAACGTATTTGAAGGATTGTTGCCATTCCATTCTTTTGTATTTGTTCTAGAAACACTGAACTCTACTTTATCTTAAAACCAAATGTAGAAAGGATATTGGGAAAACACCTCACCCCTAATGAGGGGGGGTGACCTCTATTATATAGCCAATCAGGCTTGGTATATAAGGAATACAATCAGTGTACATGGAAGGAATGAACAAGCTTCCTAATACACATATATACTTCCTAATACCCGCCCGTAGTCGTAGTGGGAGGATCACGGACGCAAAGACTGGACCGAAACTCAGTGAACAATGGAGTTGGAAGGCCCTTCGTCATGATGTCCGCGAACTGGTGAGAGGACGGCACATGGAGGACCCGGACCTCACCCAAGGCTACCTTCTCACGGACGAAGTGGATGTCAATCTCGATGTGCTTCGTGCGCCGATGATGGACCGGATTGGCTGTCATGTATACTGCACTCACGTTGTCACAATAGACAACAGTGGCCGAAGCAAGTGGGACATGAAGCTCCTGGAGAAGTTGGCGTGACCAAAGAACATTCGCCACAAAGATGAGCCACAACACGATACTCCGCCTCAGCACTGGATCGAGATACCGTGGTCTGGCGCTTGGAGAACCAAGACACTAGATTGTCACCGAGGTAGACGCAGAAGCCGGAGGTGGAACGTCGAGAGTCTGGGCAGCCAGCCCAGTTGGTGTCGGAGTAGGCAGTCAGAGACTGAACAGAGCCGGTGCCGATGTGAAGTCCGGAGGAGAGTGTGCCCTTCACATAGCGCAGGATGCGCTTGATTAAAACCATATGGGGCTCGCGCGGATCATGCATGAAGAGGCACCTCACGAACCGCATATGCCAAATCTGGTCTAGTCGGGGTGAGTCTTGAAGGGCCCAAAGCAAGTCTTGGTACTCAGAGCCGCCCCGAGCTTAAGCGCCATCTGTCTTTGAGAGCTTGGCATGAGTGTCAACGGAGTCATTTGAGAGTGACACTCACCATGCCAAAGACATCGAAGAAGATCCGGGGCATCACATGTCGTTGAGACAGAACAGTGCCACTGGGAAGAACGCGCGCCACCGAGATGCCGAGGAAGTGATGCAGGGCTCCAAGATCTGTCATGGCGAACTCGGAGTGAAGGCGCCCCATGATGTGCCGGAGAAGAGTCGAGGACGACGCGGTGAGGACGATGGCATCGACATATAGCAGCAGATAGGTGATGCTCGGCCCCTCTTTGTAGACAAAGAGGGATGTGTCGGAGATGGAGGCGATGAAGCCGAGCTGTCGAATTTAGGAGGCGAACCGCTGGTACCACGCCCTCGGTGCCTGCTTCAGTCCATACAAGGACTTCGGAGGAGACAGACGTGATCTGGGAGCGGGCGGGTCGACGGGCCGGGAGGTCATTGGCGAGACGATCTCGGCGAGATGGCCGTGAAGAAACGCGTTCTTCACGTCCAGCTTGTGGATCGGCCAGGCGCAAGAAGTGGCAATCTTGAGGACGGTCCAGATCGTCATTGGTTTGACAACCGGATCAAGGTCTCGTGCGTGAAGTCGATCTTGGTGGCGCTGGAGAAGCCTCGGACCACCAACAGCGCTTTGTGTGCGGGCGAAAGTGACCCATCGAAGATGGAACTTATCTTTGGAAGATCCACTTGCCCGACACGACATTGGCACCGGGCGGCCGCGGGACGAGGCGCCAAGTGTCGTTGTCCATGAGAGGCAGCACGCCAGTTGGCGTCAGCCAGAGCACTGTGGTAGTTTGCCGGAAGCGGAGAGGGCGATGATGGCGAGGCCGTCAAGCCCTGGTAGGACACCCGCTGAATGGCCCCAGTCACAGTCCGAGTGACAGGTCGTGTAGGAGCAGGAGGTGGCGATGAAGCTAGGACTGCGGGCGCCTGAGGTGCCGCGGGCGCAGGTGGCGGCGACAGAGGTGTGGGCGCCTGTGCTGCTGGTGCCAAGACCATGGGCGTCAGCGTTGTAGGAGGCGCCGGCAGCGGTGCAGCGACCGGTACGCGCTGGTGTAGTAATGAGGAGGGCGACACCGGTGGTGGTAGGCCTGGCGCGGCGGTGGAACCCCAATCGCAGGAGCGAGGACAACGCCCAAGCGGGCGATCTGCAGATTGAGGAAGAGGGCGGCGCCCCCCGCAGACGCGAGCACGCAGTACACGCATGGGCCGCGTATCAGATCAAGGGTCATCGTCGGAAGTTCACGCAAGCAGCAATGGGTGATGGCAGCGGTGCGCATAACGCCCGAGGACGGAGCGACCGAGGCAAGAGTAGGAGCGACAAAGGGGCTTGGCAAGAGGAAGTCGAGTGTGACGGGTGAGTAGGGTGGGAGGAGAAAGGAAATGCAGACTCGTCGAAGACAACATGGCGAGAGATGATGACTCGACGGGTGGATAGGTCAAGGCAGCCCTTTGTGGGACGAAGGGTGGCGAGGAAGACATGTTGCAGATCGAGGAGCAAGCTTGTGGCGGCCGTGGTCGAGAGATTAGGATATAGATGATAACCGAATATACACAAGTGAGAGTATTCGAAAATGTGAATAGAGGAGTTGGTAGGGAATGTTATTTCAAACAGCAGAACAAGGGCGCTGTTCAGAGGAGGATAGGTGGTGGTGGCGAGTGCCTTGGCCCGAAGATGGGGCGCCCATGGAGGCGTGTATCAAGAGGGGTGCGAGTGACATTATTAAAGTGCGGAGGACACGCTCAAACTTTCCCATTACGAGGAGAAGTATAGGGACGAGAGAGGCGCAGTGGATGCCCCGAGAAGTCAAAAAAGACGTGAGTCTTATTGACAAACTCGGTTCCGTTGTCACTGTATCTCTGCGAACGGAAAGCCCGAAATGTATTGGCATATGCACGAGAAGTCTATGATGTGTTTGGTGACTTGGACTTGTGAACAAGAGGAGTTGTCCAATGAAATGTGAGAAGTCATCCAAAATGACAAGGTAGTAGCGATAACCGAAATACTAGGTACTGGAGAAGTCCAGACATCACAATGGACTAACTCAAAAGGAGTGGAACTGCGAGAGCTGGAATTAGTGAAAGGTAACCGCACATGTTTCCCTAATTGACATGAGTGACATAGAGTGTGACTGTCTTTATTACAAGTAATGGATGCTTTCTGTCTAAGTGTAGTGATGGCGGTAGGACCAGGATGACCGAGACGGAGATGCCACAAACTGGAGGAGATGGCGAGACCGGCGTGGGGTGCTGCAAAGCTGGCGGCTAGAGGAATGGTGTAAAGATTGCCGGTGCTATTGCAGCGAAGAATCTCGCGTCTGGTCGGAAAATCCTTGACAGAAAAACCAAAAGCGTCAAACTCTATGGTGCAATTATTATCCTTAGTAAACTGACGAACGAAAATCAGATTACGGATTAATGAAGGGATAACAAGGATGCTGTTAAGCTGAAAATTGGAGGTGGGGGTAGAGTCGCCACGGCACGTGACTGGAAGGGTGTGGCCATTACCTACAGTAATGGAGGAGTGAGACGGAGGGAGGCGGGAAAGATGAATATCATCCGTAGACGACATGTGGTCGGAGGCTCCTGAGTCAACGACCCAGCCACCATTCTGCAGCGCCGTCTGGTTCAAGGCAGCGTCGAGTCCCGCTTGATCCTAGGTGGGCGCCTGAGGGGGTGCCTGAGCGGGGATGTAGGCAGCGTGGGCCTGCGGGGGTTGGCCCAGAAGACTAGGGGCGCCGGCGTGCCAGCCCCCGCCGCCCTAACTGCCGGCCTGCTGGAAGCCTGGAGTGCTGTAGGAGGTGGCGCCAGGACTAAAACAGAACCATGGTAATGGGAACGGGGATCCCGATCTTCCGTCAGGTAGTGGTAACTATCGTTGTGGCGGAGAATAACACACCGATCCGGCTTCAGATCGAACCCTACAATCTTAGCACCACAACTCCTCTGGTTATCAACCGAGACACGGATCTGGTTGACCTCGCCAAGAAGGCTAATCCCTGCCTGCGCAACGAAGAACACAAGCAAGAACAAGAAAGAAAGCAACCAAATTGTAGAGACAGCGGCGAAACTATTCTTGACAGATTAATCTAAGCAAAACCCAAAAACCTAATGACAGCGGCGGCATATGATTATAAAGGTCTTAGGGTCGTCGCCTACCCTGGATGCGCCCCCTAATGGGCCCAAACACGATACACGGTCCAACGGACCAAAAGACGGTGTCGCAGCACCCTGGCAGATTCTGGACGCTGACTTGTTTCGACGATTTCCGTTGATTCTGAAGGGCTTTTGACGTGAGACCACTTAGATTGGCTTCCTTATCAAATTAGCTTTCCAACCATATATGGATCGTTGAAAATGGAGTCCGGATGCGTCCTGGGTGACCAGTTTAAGGCAGACTGGTCCTGGAGGCCGAGGCAGACTCGAACTTGAGTTGCTTTGGGCCTCCACCTCGGGGACTCGAACCGAATTAGCCTCGGACCTCCTTCTTGACTTGGACACCCTTTCTGGCCTCCTACCCCTCCATACCATGCGCCAAACATGGTCATATGCATAGGTGTCATGTCCTCATCATCCTCCCCTTCTTGACGAAAAGCCGTCTTCGGCGTCGATTGTGCTTGAAACTGATCCTGCACAACATAAAGGAGAACGGAGTTACGAAGACAAAGGAAACTGAAATAATTGTGAGAAGGAACGTGACCATGTTTCCAAGTTTCTAGCATGTCATCTCGCATAAAAATTTCAGCAAGCATGTAGACTTCATGATCCGAATGCACATGATGTATGTCAACACTATCCTGCAAAAGATTATAACTAACCAAAGACAATGCAGGAATAGATGGTCTAGCAGACATAGGTAGCAACCAACAATGCTCCCCTTCTTGGAAGTGAACTTGTTTCTTTGAGAAACATGAGAAA